ATTAACCTAAGAAAAGTTTCTCCGGCAGGCTTGCCTACCCTGCAGAAATTCTGTTCTTTCTTGAGGCACACAGACAGCAATAGAGAAACACAGAACATACCTACACAGGTACGCGTGCACACACGCATGTGTACAGGGGCACGCACCGTGTCTATAAAACCAAAAAATGTGCTCCTGAAAAAAAAATAACATTTGACTTTTTATTTATCTTGATGGTCAATTTGGCTCACAGAATAATAGAGATTAATAGTATCCCTTAAGAGCAACCAAACACCAAGAAATGCTTCAAAAAAAGATATATCTAGGGGATGGGTACTTTTTAAGTAACCAATTATAATTTGCTGTTCCAAGGAAGTGTGTCAGGACTTGGGTGAGCAAGTCCATTGCTGGTTTATATACCTGGGCTCTAGGAAGCTCTTTCTACTCTCAACGATTTCCCCATCAGCTCTTGATGTTCTAGAGTTTCACAATAGTGAGACTTCTTTTGATTTAAAGGTTTTAATGTCAGAGTCCTCTTACAAAATATTCATATAATGTAACATTTACATTACCAGCAATGATTGATTTTAAGAGACAGCTGAGCACTAAATCCTGTAGGACTTCTTTTCCTCTATTCCCTTCATCTCTCCCTTCTTGCTTCCCCTATTTCATTCATTTATTCATTCCATAAATATCTAATGAGCACATGCCATGTTTTGGCAGGGAGTATGGTACCATATCTAAGAGTCTGGAGAAATGGGTCCAGGCACTTTGCTTTCTTCCCTCATGATGTAGACAAAGCTTAAGACTCAGTTTCCTTACCAGCCGAAAGGCGACAATAATGATACTTATCACCTAAGGTTGTTGAGGGATTACATGACCTACTACATATAAAACACTTTGCTCCATCTCTGGCGCCTCCCAAATGTTATTATTGTTATTAAAATAATGCAGAGTATAGGTTCCGTAGTTAAACTGCTCAGGTTCAAATCCTGGCCCCTACCTACCAGCAATATGACCCTGGGCAAGTAATTTCTCTGTGCCTTAGTCTCCTCGTCTGTAAAATGGGGCTGAGAATAGATATCTACTTCATAGAATTATTGAAAGGACTCATTGAGATACTATTTGTAAGGTACATAGAACCGCGCCTGACACATAGTAAGCACTCAACAAGTACTAGCTATTGTTGCTGCTACTGTTATTATTGGTAATTCCAGAAATATGAAAATGAGAAATCAGACACTCTAGGAGCGAAACCACGCATGTAAATAAATAATGACACATGATGCAATGAGTAGAAAAGCAGAAGTTTATACAAAGCACAAGAATAAGCTTCGCCAAGGAGGTGCCCAAACAGGACCACTGTGTTTTCCTCATCTTCCCTAATTTATTCATGAGTCTCATCTCAAGATTAAATATCTCTGGACAGTTTCAAAGTTGTCCATAATCTGGTCCAACTGTATTTTCTTGCACAATCTGGTATGTCAGCTGGTTGAATGTCAGCTGGTTGAATGTCGCCGTTATTGTCCTTCAGTCTTTGACCCTGCAGTTCCCATGTTCTAGAATGCCTTCCCTTTCATGTCCGCCCATGCGTGAACCCTACTTGACCTTCAAATCTCAGCGAAACTCCACCTGCTCTTTAAAACCAAACTCCACATTGCTGTGCTTCGCCTCTGCCTCCTTTACACTCGGAACCTACCATCGGCCTTGCCCCGTCCCTTCTCAGGCTCCTCATTTGCCTTCCATAGCTGACTCACTATCCATGGCATCCCCATTTCTGACATTTTACACTCCGCCTCTGCTCATCACTTCTAGTCAACCCCCAAGACCTGCCCACTCCACCACAGTGACATCACGACAACTTCCTGTGTGCCTTCTCAGTGTCAGCCCTCCCTCCTCACCCTCCCGGGCTCCTACGCTGACCAGCCTTTAAGCTGAGTTCCTGATGGCTGTCTCCTATTCCTAATCTCTCCTGCATGCTGTTGCCTCCACTGAAGTCATTTGGGCCCAGAAAAAAAAAAAAAAAAGAAGGAAAAAAGGCTTACTTTTCACCATCTACTCTGACACCTTTCGAATTTTGTATCACGTGCATGGATTATCTAGTCATACAAAAATAAAAGAATTCCTTTTAAAAATTAATCAATTGAAATAAAGCCTGTATTCTTTATCTATTTTGTCTCACCTGAGCTGGCAATTCTTGGGAAGCTTGCAACCTCGGGTCCAGAACCCCCGGTTCTGCCACATCGTGTTTCCGTTCTCACAAGGCACAGACAGGCTGGCCCTTGAGCCACCTCGAGCAGCGCTCCCCCCAGAGAGAGGCTGCAGATGTGCTTTGAGAGAAAAGAGCTGCCAATGGCAGCAAATCCTCTGTGCGAAGTCCCTCTTTGTTGAGAAATCTTGTTTGCTGGACTTTTAAGTGTTTGAGATATAGGAAGAAACTTTTTTGTCCTTATCCAGATAAGGCAAAAGAAGGCCATGTCACTCTGAGCCTGTGATTTCCTCTTTACCGAGGAAGCCCTGCCAGGTCTGGGTCCACGTCAGCGGCAGGAAGCACTGTGGGTAAGCCTGGTAGTAGTTGGCATCGATTTTGATAAGAAAGGGAAAGTGAGACCCTTTGACCCATCTGCTTCTTGATACAATTCCTTTGTGATCAAACAGCTCCTATGAGTATGGAGGCAGCTGCAGTTATCATGGGTCCTAACACAGCTGACTAAAGAAATCACATGACTGCCAGCCCTTGATAAAACCTGCACCATATTAACCGTAAAGTGACAAAACAGCAGTGGGTCTCAGTTCCCACGGCTGAGTGCTGAGATGTTTAATGGCACCCCACAGGCGGTGCCCTGGTGCTGGCATGGGAAGTAACCAAGGCCCACCTCTCCCCAGACCCAACTTTCCCACCTCCAGCTACAACAGAGCCCCAGGGCACCCTCTCACCCTGGAGCGGTGTTCAGGAAACTAAGGTGTGAGAGTGCAGGGTGTAAGAATCAGAGATGATAGAAGCAGGTCAGAGGCGTGACGCAGATAAGAGGTGGGACGCAGGTCTAGGAAAAGATCACAGGGTCCATAAGAGAGTAATCTGAGCTGCCATCAGTGAAAAAATGTTCTAGCAACTGCCGTCCCCTATGCCCCCCAATCTTTTGCAGTTGTCAGTTTATCTCCAATCTCCCACAGCTGCCATCTGACATTTGTCAATCCAATCCCAGGTCATAGACATTAGCCAGTTACAAGCAATTATCCCTGCATTGAGGGAAGCTTTGATCCAATCAATGGGTCATTTAAAAGGCCTCTTTGGTGTCTAAACAAGGTTTTCTTTTCCCATTGCTTAATACTTAAAGTAATTTTTTAAAACAAGTCGAAGTAGCAGCTCCTGTGAAAATGCCAATTAACCTGAAGAGGGTGGAGGAAGGGGTGCTCTCGTCTTGAGACCTCAGTGCTCATCACGTATCTGGGAAATGAGGGGTCAAAAGGCAGGAGGGGGTCTCTTTCGAAGCTTCTACCCACATCTTCTTTCCTAGGGCAAGAAATTTCAAATTAGTGTTTGTTTTCTTTCTCAATTAAGGGCTTTGCATTTTCAAGTGAAGTGACTTCTACCAAGAGGAATTTTATAATCCAATTCAAAGGGATTTCAGCTCATGAAAGAGGATTAGGAACCATTGGGTAGATGACAAGTGCTAGCATATTTCCTATCAAGAGCCTCTTAAGATATTTTCCCTGTCTGGGAGCTCTTCTCTCTTTACTGTAAGAAGCTCAGAAGAGACACATTAGAGACTTGGGTAGTTTTCTCTCCCCGAGTGCCCCCACTTCCTTCTCTTGCTCTTTGCCATACATCATTTAAAAAGTTCATCTGCCTTTTTACACTTCAAGGCAAAATAAAAATGCCTGAAAAATGAAGACCAAAATTATAACCAATCCTTCAGCCCCTGGGCACAAGTAGCAAAATGAACAAGATCTGAATTTAATCTGTTCTGATTGCTATGTCTCCACTGGGCCAGCCACCTCATCCCAGAAAAGGGCAAGATGAGACCATTCTTTCTCCCCAGACAGCAGCAATGTTCCAGGCTGGCTTCTCAAGCAGGAGCTATAAAAGAAGGTGGAAAGAGATGCCAACAACAGGACCCAGGCAGCCAGCACCCAGGTCCCCAGCAGCCACTCACCCCAGCCTGGCTCTCCGCCTCTCTGACGGCCTTCCTCTGTGAGATGTGTAAACTGGGGGAAAGGATAAGCAGATGACCCTTTCCAACCTCCCCCTGACTCACAAGACAAAGGAGGACTAATTGTTTTGCTCTTGGATGAGCATGCAGGCATTTAAAAAGGCCTCCTAGTGATGGGGGAACTTGGACTTGGAGGCAGCCACATCTGGGTCCCTGTTCTCACTCCACCACTTTCTAGCAGTGAAGGCTTCTCTCAGCCTCATAACCTTTACCTGTAAAAGGGAAGAGGAATAACAACAACCTGATGGATCATTACTGGGGTTAAAGGAAATACGGTACAGGAAGGGCCATACTCACTAACTGTCTACTAAATTGGAATCGTTAGTTACATTCATTGGGCAGATTTAGGAATAACAAGGCTAATTTGCACAATTTAGAGCTGCTTTTATTTCTTTTTTATGGTTCCTCACTCTTTTGTTAAAAGGAGTTAAAAGGAGATGGAGACTTCCTACTGAATGTCTTCAACTTCTGAGTAAGGCTTCTGTTAAATTCACAAGGAGAAAGGCCATTGTCTTGACAATATGCTCTTGGCACCCTCTTGAAGTCCACTTGTTTCTTATGATCAATTTGCCCTCACAGCTAGGTTAATCTTCCGATTCCTGAGAACCAGGGCGATCATTTCAAACTGCCCTGCTTCTAGGTTTAGGTGTCATGTTTGTGTTTTGGCCATTGAGCTCTTCAGGCTTTTCTTTGTCAGCCTCTTCCTCGCCTTTGGGCCCAGAGTTTAGGATGCTCAAGATAAAGTGCTCCCTCCCTCCCAGAGCCTGGCCTGGGGCTTGGCTGCAACCAGTATCCCAGTATCTCCCTCTTCTCGTACAGAAATTCTAAAGCAAGCCACTCCCTTTGTCTGCAGCTGAGGTGGAAAATGTCCGGATGTTCCCAGTAGAATGATTACATTTTTACTTATATGTTTTCCTCCCTCATGTGTCTCCACTAGCACTTTTTTGAAAGGCATATTTTTTTAAATGCTTTTCTGCTGTAATTCCCATGCCTAGATTTTCTTTCTCCCCTCTCTCCAGCTTTTATGTTTGTTGACTTGGTTATTATTATAGTGCAATAATAGTCCTAGTAACTGGTTAGGGTGTAAATGGGACATGTTACCTTGTTGCCAGGACAAATAAAGAGTTAAAATAAAGAAGCGGCTGGTTTTCACTCATTCATTCCAGCACATTGATTGAACAACACTGTCTTCAGATTACTCTGCTCAGGAAATGAAGATGAATATGGCATGGCCAGCTCCAAGGGGCTCAAAGTCCAGGACGAGGACTATGACCCCAGGATTTATGGGTGGTATTCAGAGCATCCAGGACCCTCTGAAATAAAAACAAAATTGTTTATGTGTATGCACACAGCGAACTTCTCAGGGAGAAAATCCATAGCTCTGATCAGATTCTCAAAGGTATCCAGAATTTAAGAAAAGCAGGATCTGGAAGGGGTGGTTAAGAACCACGGATCTTGAAGGAAGTGGTGATATGTGAACCATGCAGTTTCTGGCAATCACCTTTGACTAATTCTCTTTTCCCACCAAGCTGTCAGAAAATCCTACCGGCTCTACCTTGAAAATCTGTCACAGATGCATCCCCTTCTCACCATCACCACGGCTACCACCCTGATCCTTGCTATCATGTCTGCCTAGAGTATTGCTTCTACCCTCATCCCTACAGTCTAGCCTCAATGCAAAAGCCAGCCTGGTGCTTTTAAAGAACAAACCAGATTGTGTCACTCCTCTGCACAAAATACATCAGACACTTCCCTGCTCATGCAGAATAACTCCAAAGGCCTTATTCTATTCCAGAAGGAACAATCCGTGATGCCTTCACCTCCATTCTTTCTCTGAGCTTGACTCTGACATGTTCCTTCTCACTCACTCCTCTTCACTCACTTCCTGTTATTCCTCATACATCCCTCATAAATGCCACAGGGCATTTGCACACCATTTCCTCTGTTTTTAACACTCCTCCCCCAGATGTCAGCTTGGCTCACTCCTCCACTTCCTTCAAATCTCTGCTCAAAGGTCACTTGACCAAAATGTCTTTCACGACCAACCTAGATAAAACAGTACCCCACTTTCTGTCAACCTTTGTTTTCCCTTTCATCTGACATGAAATTATATATTTGTTTATTTGCATATTGTCTACATACAACACACACACACACACACACACACACACACACACACGAATATACGTTCCTTGCAAGCAGGGACTTTGTCTGTTAGGTTCATCACTCTATTTCCAGCTCCTAGAATAGTGCCTGGTGCATAGAAGCTGCTCAATAGACATTTGCTGAATGAATAAATGAATAAACCATGTATAAGTACAAATATAGTGAAGTAAGAAATAATAGATTGGTCTACAAAACAGTACCGAAGCACAGGGAGGAAGAAGCCACTAAATCTGATTGGGGAAGGTGAAGGAGAGAGACTTGCGAAGTAAGTAAAGCTTCTAGAGGAGGTGATACACAACGTTAGCATGTGAAAGGATGAGGCATGTGGCCAGGGCTGCAGAGAAGGGCATATCAGGCAGGGGAAAGGTTGTGGGCTAAAACCTGGGCGGGGGTGGGGGGGGGGGGAAATGCATGGAAAAGCATGGCTCATTGGAAACTACAAGCAGCTCAGCATGTCTGGAATATTTACCTAAGGAGGATGTCATGGAGCGACAGGAAATGAGATAGAATAGTGGACAGGGACCAAATCATCAAAGGTCTAATACATTTTGCTGATGACTCTAGATTTTATCCTATAAGTGGTAGGGAGCCAATCGAAGATTTTCAGCAGTGTGGGAATGTGCTTAGAAAATTGTTCTGTGGGCAAGATGGATTAGATCTGAGAGATCTTGAAGGCTGGGAGCCCAGTGTGATATAGCTAGGTGACACAAGGAGCCCAGAACTAAGATAGGACAGTAAAGATGGAGAGAAAGGAATCAGAGCTAGAAAAACAACTCTGTGACCCACTATATATGAAAGATGAGAGAAAAGAAAAAAGTCCAGCTAATGATAAGCCTCAACTACCAACACAAGGCCCTAGTGCCCCCAGTCCCCTTCCCATGCTTATTGCAAAGAACATTAACCACCGCTCTCTTTCCCCCGAGACATGACTTGGCCTCAGAATCCTCCTCAACACCGTGTATCGGCAAGC